GGGAGCACCAGCTTCTAGAACCAACAGAAGCAACGGGAGCAGCAGCTTCTAGAACCAACGGGAGCAGCAGCTTCTAGAACCAACAGAAGCAACGGGAGCACCAGCTTCTAGAACCAACAGAAGCAACACTACTAACACTAGCAGCACTAGAATAAGCATTACCCACAAGAACGCCAAAAGGAAACCCTCAATATAAACTCTAAACACCCCTATAGTCTTTGAGACGAATTGTGTATCAAAGTGAATCAATCGTAAGTAGAACACGAACCCCATAAGTAGCAGGTGATCGTGGCACCAGCAGCAGCCACTCCGGAAGTCATAAAAATAGCATTAGTGGGAGCCTTGGCACTATATATAGCCAGGGCTAGTACGGGGAGCACCCACAGTCGTGCTTGTATGTAGTATTCGTTGTATTCGATAACGTATTCGTTGTATTCGATAACGTATTCGTTGTATTCGATAACGTATTCGTTGTATTCGATAAAAATGTAGTATGGTAGAGTACGACTAGGGTAGGCTGGGGTGGCCTATGGAGAGTCATATGCGCTCTATATGCGACGGCTTGCGTGATGCCTTGTTCCAATTGGGTAATGGGTGCAGGATTGGGGGAGAGTGGTGGGGATTGGGCTACGGGGCGAGTAAAAGAGTTGGGAGTAAAAGTGAGGCGATTGGGCTAGGGGGCGAAGGAGAGGCGATTGGGCTACGGGACGAGGGTCAGAGGTGGATTGGGGGAGTGGGTTAGAGAATTTAGCGAGACTGGGGGATGAGACTAGGATCCATTTTGTTACATAATTTGCAAGGAAGTTAGGATAACATCATCAGTCAATATTTGTATTACTTGGCAGGTTCTAAGACACCTGAGGGATTGTAGAGCTGTAATAAAGCTAACCTGTCATCTAATAGTGATGGAACTCATGATACTTATTGTAAATATATATATATATATATATATATATATATATATATATATATATATATATATATATATATATATATATATATATATATATATATATAAACATAACTTAGACACAACCTGCAAGGTGACTCGAACTCAGAAAACACAGGTGTTAGCGCACCTGGCATAATTGATACGCTAACCGTTACACCACCCAGACCCTCCAAAAGGAATTGAAACTTCGGAGTATTACGCAGAATTGTATTATTGTAGTATTATAGTATTGTAGTATTGGCCGCAGGATTACGCGTCCCGCACGCTGTCCATGCAGCTACCAGCGCCCTGGAATATGTGTGTGTGTGTGTGTGTGTGTGTGTGTGTGTGTGTGTGTGTGTGTGTGTGTGTGTGTGTGTGTGTGTGTGTGTGTGTGTGTGTTTGGCAGCTAGGCTAAGCTTGCTCTCTCTTGTCAGGGAGCTGTGAGTGTCTTGGTTATCTTGAGGTTATCTTGAGATAATTTCGGGGCTTTTTAGTGTCCCCGCGGCCCGGTCCTCGACCAGGCCTCCACCCCCAGGAAGCAGCCCGTGACAGCTGACTAACACCCAGGTACCTATTTTACTGCTAGGTAACAGGGGCATAGGGTGAAAGAAACTCTGCCCATTGTTTCTCGCCGGCGCCTGGGATCGAACCCAGGACCACAGGATCACAAGTCCAGCGTGCTGTCCACTCGGCCGACCGGCTCCCTAAAGTGTCAGTAAGGTTCTTCACATGTATTTCAACATATATAAATGTCATTTAATGGGTCTTTGTTAACCATTTAATGGGTGTTTGTTAACTCTATTAGCACCCTGTAAACGATTCGCCGTGCACTATTTACACACTTGTAAATGACCAAGCGTCCAGGTTTACACCCTTACGAACGCCTGTGTAAACACCCTAACATTTACAGACATTCATTAAAAGAAAAAAAACACGATTAGTGAGGTAGTTTCACGTGGATGTAGTTTTTGTTGATATTGTCCTGCTTGATCTGTAGAGACGAGGGCGTTGATTGGTTAATAAGTCTCGTGTCTCGTCTTCTGAGACGAGGGCGTTGATTGGTTAATACGTCTCATGTCTCGTCTTCTATCCACCATCTGTATTTGTACGCAAGAGATACATTCGTATAAAACTTTATCCAATGAGAGAACGTAAAGTTTCAAAATTTTTACGCATTTCTTTTAAATATGAGGACCAAAGTTCGTGTAACATACATTAGGTAACTTAGTTACATTTGGTTCGCATATTGTAAGTTCAAACCGTATAAAGTTGCCTCTAATCATATTGCGGAACTTACCAAAATGTACCTTCACATAAATATAATATTCTAATACCATGTATGAAATTATACACGGTTTAAGCATCGACCTTTTGTCCATTTTGCTAAAACATTGTTTTGTTTTTGCTTTTAGAATGATCGATCCTCATGATGTTTGGGTGTTAAAGATCCCACCAGAGATGACTGCCTCATAGCGTTAGGAGTAATGCTTTTTCATAAATTAATGATACAAACCGAGCAAACCAATATATATATATATATATATATATATATATATATATATATATATATATATATATATATATATATATATATATATATACATATATATAATCAGTTTGGTAGAAGAATTGATTCTCTGGCCTCTATATTTTTCCGTCACACATTAACTATAATTGTCAGCTCATGTTACATAAAATCGCTTTTTTGCATATCACAGATGGCTTTGTTGCTGCAGGTGGTGGTTCTGTTGTTATCTGGTGCTTACCTTACCTACCTTACCTTACCTTACCTTACCTTACCTTACCTTACTTTACCTAACAATGTCTACGGGGAAGTGAGATCTAGATCTTTAGGAGTATCTCTTTCCATTCCTTCGGTTCTGTTGCGTTTCTTGTTTCCATCTGTGTCCTATAGTCCTTCCTATTAATGCGAGGCTGCCCTTGTGCACCTTATTTATTTCTATCATTATCTTGTATGCTGTGATCATGTCCCCTCTGTTCCTTCTGTTTTCTACGGTTGTGAGATTTAGTTCGACTAGCCTTATTCTGGTAACTTAACCCTCTAAGTTCTGGCATTAATCTTGTTGCAAACCTTCGTACTTCTCAAGTTTGGCTTTGTGCTTCACAAGGTGCGGATTCCATGTCAGTGCTGCATATTCCAGCATTGGTCTGACCTATGTTGTGTGGATTGTCTTGTAGTCCTGATTTAGCTTGCTGAACGATGTTCTTATATTTGCCAGAGTCCCATATGCTGCTGATGTTATCCGGTTTGTGTGTGTCTGGTGTTAGTGTTGGAACACTCCCACGTCTCTCTGAATCCTGTGGTTATCTTCACCTTATAGTTTAGATACCTTCTGGTCTCCTCTTTCTCTTTCCCATCTTCATTACCTTATACTTACTGGGATTGAATTCCAGCAACCATTTGTTTGACCACTCCTGGAGTTTGTCTAGGCCCTCTTGTAACTTCCTGCCGTCCTCTTCTGTTTTTATATTATTCATCAGTTTGTGTCATCAGCAAACATGAGCGAGCTCCCTCAGGTAGGTCGTTCACATGAATTAAGAACAGCAGCAGCACCAGAATAGAGTCTTTTGGGACCCTATCTGAAACTTTCCTCCAGCTTGAAACCTTCTCTTTGACTGTGATTCTTTGCTTTCAGTCTTACAGGTACTCCCTTACCTAGTTCAATGTTTTCCTTAGTATTCCACCCTGCTTCTCCATCTTGTTCACCGGTCTCATGGGGAAGTGTCAAATGAGTTAGGAAAATCTTAAGAAAATGCAATCTACCCAGCACTTTTTTTCCTGACATACTTTATTAACCTTGTCATAAAACTTAATTAGGTTTGTCAGGTACAATTTTCCTTTTTTAAATCCATGTTCAGCATTTGTCACCTAGTTCTCTCCAGATGCTCCACCAGTCTCGACATGATTACTTTCTCCAGCACTTTACACAGAATTCTTGTCACTGACACCGGTCTCTAATTTAGTGTTTCCTTTCTCTTCCTTTTCCTTTCCTTTCTCTTCCTTTCTCTTTATTGGGTCTATTCCTTTTTCCATATTTCTGGGATATTTCTGGCTGGCTCGAGCATTTTAATTCAAATTTTATTAAATGTGTGACAGGTACTTCAGCAGGTGTTTTATTAGGTGTTTTCCTACCTTTTGTGCAGTAACTACAATGTCATCCATTGTTTCTTCCAGCCTTGCGTCTCAGAACGTTGGTCTCCACGCTGGTTCTACTGTAAAGACCTCCTGAACTCTTTGTTGAATTCTTGACATTCCTCAGTATCATTTTCTGTGAGAATTTCCCATTGTCTTCTCAATCTATATGGTTTCGAACTATTATTTTTTTCCTATATGTTTATATATATGGTGACACTATTGTCGTCTGGTGGTGGCACTGTCATTGCCTGACATTGTCGTCTGATAGTAGCACGAATATATAAATTAAGACCACGTAAGTCAGTATTCAGTTAGGCTAACTTTGGTATGCAGTCGATACATTCGTACTAGCAAGCGTTAATACTGTGATGGTTTTTAATTTGTCTTAAACCACGGCAATATTTACGTCGGGGGATCGATAGCGTAAACAAATGTAGTGTGACGTGGAAGGAGAGTGTTGTGTGTCCTCGGGTGTGGGGAGGATGTGTTAGATGTGACGTGGAAGGAGAGTGTTGTGTGTCCTCGGGTGTGGGGAGGATGTGTTACATGTTGGAAATTATACCACTCTGGTCTCTGGCTCTTGTGTAGTCTTGGGGATGTTGTGGATGTGTTGTACCTCTTACTGAACGGTGTATTCTCTCTCTGTCTCTCTCTCTCTCTCTGTCTCTCTCTCTCTCTCTCTCTCTCTCTCTCTCTCTCTCTCTCTCTCTCTCTCTCTCTCTCTCTCTCTCTCTCTCTCTCTCTCTCTCTCTCTCTCTCTCTCTCTCCATTCCCATCTCCTCTCTCCTCTCTTTTTCTCTATCGCTCCTCCTCCTCCTCCCTCCCTAATTTTCTGTCTCCTGTCTTCATTCATTTTAACTCCCCCTTTATTGTTAGTTGAAGCTGATGTATGTCTTTTTTCTATTTCAG